GCAGGACCCTCAAGCTCCCAGGCCTCTGGTAGAGGACCCGAGCTTGAAGGATAAAACCGCCCGCAGGGGCGTGCTGGGTGTTTTTAAATATATATATATTTGGTGATAAAATGTGAAGAAAAAAAACACAAGCGTTTAGATAGAAATTTCGATTCAAAGAATTAACCGAAAGGTGCATAAACGGTAACTTAAAAATTATAAAATAAAACAATATAAAGATGACCATCAATTAAAAGGTCTATACTCGGACCTGAGAGCTTCCAATTTACAGTGTGGTCTCTATACTCCGAGAGACAGAAGTTTCACTCCTGAATCCTGCAGATCAGAATTATTCAGGTCCAACTCTCTCAGAATAGAGGACTGGGAGCTGAGGATTGAGGCCAGAGCTTCATAGCTTCTCTCTGTTAGGTTACAGAGACTAAGTCTAAAAAAGAAAACATTAACAACAGTATTTGTTTCACTGTTCAAGTGTATTCGGAGTGTATTGAGGCTCTAGTACATGAAGCAATAATTCTGTTTTTAAGGAATTATTTTCTGATGTTACACAGGTTAGAAATGTTGATCTTTACTTAAACTCCATGTTTTTGGCAAATACTAAGATACTACAACAAACATAAGTTAATTTTTATTACGTAATATATTTAATTGGTTCATTTTATCAATTAATGAAAACAGTGTATCACTAAATCTGACCTAAATGTTTCCAATGTACAGTGTGGACTCTCCAGTCCTGCAGACAGAAGCTTTAATCCTGCATCCTGCAGGCTGATTATACTCAGGTCCAGCTCTCGCAGACTAGACGACCAGGAACAGAAAACTGCGGACAGAGCTTCACAACCTCCTTCTGATAGGTTAGGAACACTCAGTCTGAGGAGAAGAATAAAATTAATTTATTTTTTGTTCTAGGTTCAACATTTATACAAACAACAAATTAAAGTTGTTAGTCTGCAGTATATTTCAGTGTTAGGTAAAAAGCTTAAACTGTAAGTGTGGAAGAAATATAACACACATCTGCTCGGTAAAAACACAATAATACAGCTAGAACTTACTGAACTGCAAACTAGTGAATACCTCATAGATTTAGTGTTAGAAGTTCAGTACATGTTGTCACAGGTATACAGTACTGTTAGTCACTCATAATTTTAAGAACTTTGAGCTAAATCTAGCAGGAAGAATCAAACTTTTCCTTATTGATCAAAGGGACATCACAGGACATGGTGCAGAGCATCAGATCATATTACATCTGAGAAAAGCAGTTTCAGATGTTTCCCTCTAAGTCCACCCTCCCCAAATTTGGTCTCTTTTGATAAGATAAGATAAGATAAGATAAGATAAGATAAGATAAGATAAGATAAAAATTTATTAATCCCTCAGATGGATTCCTCTGGGAAATTAGTTTCAGTCATTATGCAAATGTACTGTTTGTAAGATTGGAGAAACCTGCAGTCAGCTGAGACTGACGAAGTCACTTGAATGTGTGACGAAACATTTCTCCTACTGAAAATGCTATGTCTAGATGAACAGAATTAACCTTTTGAGAATTTTTAGGCATTGTTAATTTTACGATTAATACAATTTCTAGGCATGTAAATGTAATGTAAAATCAGCATTTTACATATAAAGAGATGAGAATATTTTTATTCACAAAGCTCTGCTGGAGGCTTTGACCACTGGTAGCAGCCTCAGAAGAGCCTCCTCTGAAGCAGAGTATTTCT